GGGCCGAGGACTGGGGGCTTCGGCCCGCCCGGCGACGGGGAGTGAGCGCGTCGCCTGCGGCCTCCCGCTTTCCGTAGTCGCTCGTTTCTCTGCGTGTCTGCGAGCGTCGCTCCGCGTCGCCCCTGCCTTGCGCTGCTCAGGTGACTCGCCCCGGCTGGTGGCGTCAGGTTCCCCCCATCCCAAGCCCACTCATTTATTTCATTGTCTATCTCTTTTCAGTTGAACTCTTTCTATGGACGAATATAGGATAAAAGATGCGCATTTGGAGGAGTTTAATTCTCAGAACCTCGCTGTGGACATCGGGATTCGGGATTTCTAGACGCTTTGAAATAAATTGATTTTTGCTTAGCACTCTTTACCCGAGTAAATCCGTAAGTAGTTTCTGAATCAGCCAGATTAGTATATTCTCGAACCAGGACAGATTAGGGAGTTTAGAGATTTTTAATGTCAGCCGACTCGGTAGAAGAGGAAGTCGTTATTGCCGTAATTGGGATAATGGTGACTGCGAGAAGAGGTTTTATTTCTTGTTAGATTGAATTAGAAGTTTGGGATGGGATCAATGGTTTTATGATGTTTAAAGGTACCGCCCACCCATTGTAAAGAGCGCCTTTGCCAATTCTGCCTCTAGAAAATATATACTTAGTATTTTCAAATATCTCATCCTTTTTTACTAGAGACAATTTTTTTAAGACTTTTTTCTGATGTTGAATTAGTTGCTGGCTACTGTATCCAGAAGTTCAAATGTGAAAACCTGTTAAAAGATTACATTCCACGAGCCCTTGGTTGAAAATTTGTATTCCACAATCACAGAGTCTGTAGAAGACATGGCCCAAAGTGGCTGACTTAATAGCTCTAGGTCTTACTTTCTTCAGCTGGAGAACTAAGTAACCTGCAGGGTATCTTTCAGCCTCAAAATTAATATGAATTATATGAATCTAATATGTTCACGGGCTTGCTTGTCCTTTGTACATGGATTATGTATCTGGAAGAGCAGACTGCCGCCTAAACCTTGTCACCTCTGTCACCAACCCTCAGAACTTCTTTATTTAAGCTCTTCATCTCTCTAAACCTAAAGATGGGCATCTCCAAAAACTACTGTCTTTGGGAGAATTCCTAGATAATTCAAGGACCTCAGTGAATTGCTCTATATATTAAGAGATTTACTCCTGTGAAGTAGGGGGAGAAAAGAGCAGGGAAAGGAGAGAAGGAATGTTCAGGATAGAAGAACCAACCAACAGGATGAAACGTGGCTGAGACTGGGAGTGGGTGGAGGTGAAAGACCAGGAAAATGCCTACTAAGGGTGCTGATGTCTGAGAATGGCAATACCTGCCATTGTGTTTGGAGGTCTTTGTGTTGCTGTGATGGAAAACCGTTGGTCCAGCTTCAGCCTGTTCAACTCTTCAGTGCTTCATGGAAGAGGGATATTTTGATTTTGTTGTAGTTGTGTGGTTTTTGTTTTGTTAGTTGAGTTACAATACTGTGTTAGCTTCAGGTATACAGCAAAGTGAATCAGTTCTAAATATATGTATTTTTCATATTATTTTCCATTATAGGTTATTACAAGAGACTGAATGTAGTTCCATGTGCTGTACCGCAAATCCTTGTTGCTTATCTATTTTATGTATAGTAGGTTGTCTCATTTTGTTTTTATCAACAGATGTAAGGGGCAAGTCTCATGCTTGGATGACTGTAGGAACAGAGGCAGCACACATGGAAAAAGTTTGGAGAGCACTGTGGTCCTGAGAACACAGGCTCTCCCAGGAATTCACACTGTCTTAGGGGAAGGCTCTCAACTATGAGCAGCCCACACTTAGGAGTGAATTGTGTTCCACCTCCTTGGGAGTGGAGAATCTACACAAATTATTTGGAATTCTGAGCAGATTTGTCTCTCATCCATTTTTTTCAAACACTTATTCTTATCAATGTGGACTCATGGATATTTATTTAATAGTTTGGGTATTGTTTTTGATCAGATTGTTCCAGCTTTGGCTATTGGAGCTCTTCCAGTTAGCTTCTGTGTCCCTATAACATACTCCCATCATTGTGGTTTTTTTTTTTTTCCTTAACTTTCTTCCTTTCTGGGACTACAAAATGTTCCAAACTATCTGGTTTATTTCCTGCCCCTCCAAGGAGCCTTGGTTCCTTTTACTGGAGAATGGTATTAGAAACCAAATCTGGGTTCTTGGTGTGCTCATTGCTACTGGGGAATCCTTGCTTGTAGGATCTCTCTGGCTAATAAGTTGATTCCATACTATGCAGGAGTAAGATCTGTGTTTTGATTTGTTGCAGCTAGTATTTTACAGTCTAGTATTAATTACAATTTAGCTTCTTATAACCATGGTCTGTACAAAAATTGTTTTGACAGTTGATGCATGTCTGATGGCTATGTTAGGCTGGTCTGTCAGCTACTGTTCCCCCAAAGTCCAGTAGTCATGACAGTTTGGAATTGACCATTAGTTTATTTTTAATTAATTAAAGTTTATTACCTGATCAGCTAGATTCTAGTCATTCTACTTCTCTCCTCTCACCCCCACCCCCTTTGTGGTTTTCTCCCTCTACTAATATAGTGAAATGTTGTAATTGTTTTGATGCTAAGATGACTGTAGTCTAGGCTGTTATTTAATTATTCTGTGTTGCCACTTAACATTAATTGTGGTTCAGAATGATACCAATGAAATAGTTTAAATAGTTGCGTATCATAGTTTGGCTCCCCCCAGGTTACATTATCTGTAAAACAAGAGCACTGCTACTGCTTCAGACCATCTAATTAGTCTGAGCTAGATATCATATTGATACCATAAATTTAAATGAAGGCTTGATATAAACTATACACTCATGAACTTAGTATGCTTCTTAGACAAGATTCTAAAATGGATTATTAAAAGGATGTTTCCACAGTACTGTGAAATAAAAGTGTTATTCACAAAGGACAAGGAATTTTTCAATTATGCCAAAATTTTGATAGGATGATAGCTGTAGCACAGGTGTTTTCTCACATAGCCTTATGAACAAGATAAATGTGGCAGAATGTCAATGAGTTAGGTTGGCTTATAAATATTTCAACAACTGTAGCCAAATACCAATGATTCATATGTCACTGATAATTGGGAGGTGGGCCTAAGTCCATTTAACCTATCTCCTTACCAATGGGATGAGAGCACGCTGGGCAATTCTGAAAACGATCAGCTTCTGCAGAAAAGATTCAAAGGTGATTGTTAGCTCTTTCCTAAAGTGAAAGAAAATTTGTCTTCTTAAACAGGAAGGACCTATAGTAAGAATCACAATCATCGGCATTAACTCAAGAATAGGGAGGTATGGTTTAGGGAGTATCAGGTGTGAAAATTAAGGGTTTAAGTTAAACTAGTCAGCAGTCAATTGAACAAATATCAGAATAGGTAAAATAAGCTGAGACAGCATTACAAAGGAATATTGTACCCAGAACCAGGATGGCAGATTTCTGTCATACTCTCAGCAAGGCAGACACCACTGGAAAAGTATTCATTTTGGAAGTCACACTTTAATGATGGCCTTTATTTTTTAAAGGGAAAACAAAATTGTGAGTTTAGTTCAATTCAGGCTAATTCAGGGCTTACTATGTATCAGATACTGTGTTAAACATTGTTCACACAACACTAAGCCATGGGCCCTGTTCTTGAACTTGTGGTCCAGTAGAGGGAGACAGGCTGCTTAGCAAATGGCTGTAAGCACAATATAAGCTCTGCACAATGGGCTTTTGATGCCGAGTACAATTTAGCCCAGATTGTCAGAGGCCAGGGAGAACTTTCTTGAGAAAATGACACCTAAGAGGAGTCCGGAAAGGTATGCAGGATTTAGCCAAGAAGGGCAAGAAAGGTGGGGAAGGGAACCTTGCCCACAAGAAACCATTGAAGGGATTTTAAAAGTTTACCCCAAAGAAGCTACAATACGTAGTTCTGAACATTTGAATATATGATGAAAAGAATTAAATTTGTTTTTTGTGGCTCCTGAGAAAAGAAGACAAATGGAAGCAAATTTCAGTTCAGTATGTGAAAATTCATTTATTTAGTTGAACCTTATAGTAAAGTGCCCCAACAGAATGCAAATTCGATAAAATGGTGTTTGGTTCCATCTCATAGGTTCACATGATCATTTCATTAACCCAGAATAATGATTCTTTTTTTATACGATTGTTTTGGATCCCACTCACACACTAAAACCCTGCTATAATGCAATATCAATTACAGCTATCCAAACAAGGAGGCTACATTGGGAAATGGGAAACTTTATCATGGTATATTTTCAAGTAGAGGTTGGATGATAATTTGTTGGGGGTGCTGTGGAAGTTGATTAAATTTAGTATGGAGATGCCCTCCAAGATATCTTTCACCTCTGAGATCCTACAGCCCTCAAAAGAAATTTTATTTGATAGTTTCATGAATAAAAGCAGTGAGAATTAACAAATTCATAAATTAGGGTTTTATTTATCAATAAGGATAGAGAAGTTTCTATGTTTCTTATTAAGCCTGGCAGAACTCTTCAATTGATAGAAAATGTTACACTATTCAAATGTACTTCCTTCTACTTATGGTTACAAATACCCTTAAATCAAATCAAAGCTTCAAACTTCAAACTTGTTTCCATTCCAAGCTAGTATGCTAAGCCTGTATGTCTGGTTCCCCCCCTCTACCAATTACTTACTGTAGTGATCAAGGGAAATTGTATACATTGCTGCTGGAAACTGAGAAGGGTGCTAACAACGTACATGTAACCTTCAAACTTTTCAGCAGCAGATAATACGGATCGAAGCAGAGGCACAACAAGTTTGCCATTCACTGTACACGGAAAATGTGCCACCTGGGAGCTAGGGTCTTCCAGTGATGAGCTCAACTCTGGGCCATTCAAAGCAAAGATGTTAGCCTGCCGAGTAGAATGGGAGGATGCCTGTACCGGATGAAGAGAGGGACACTGTAGCTTAGGCTGCAGCAAGACATTCATACAAAGGGAAATATAAAGTCAGAGGAAAATTCTTAGCTATATTTTTATTATTGAATTCACGTGTTGACTGCTAGAGAATGTGCATCTACAAATATAACATGTATATTTCTTTTTTTTTTACAGAAAAACTATATACATTGATGGATAGAAGACAGTATGAAAAGAATTGTCTCTCTTTGAGATTAAGTACTTACAATTTTCTTTTGACTGTCTTTTCTACAATGAATGACTTTTGTAATAACAGAAAGTTTTAAAAATTAGCCCCAGCAATAAAACTATAAACAGATTAAGAATTCCTATCAGCAACGTTTTCTTTCCTTCTCTGATTCTTTGGAATTCAAAGTTACTAATTATCTTCAGTCGATTTTTTTTTTTAGGCTGTGCTGTGCAGCATGTGGGATCTTAGTTCCCCGACCAGGGATCGAACCTGTGCCCCCTGCATTAACCACTGGACCGCGAGGCAAGTCCATTCAGTCAAATATTTTTGAGCCAAATATATATAAAACAGCAGATGCATATATGTATTCCATTTTAAAATGTTAACAAAAAACAAAATCCAAAAAACCCTGAGGTAAGGTGGCATAAAAAAACTGCAAATATTTATTGGGACGGAAAGACAAAACTTCATAGTAATTATTGTTGGAATTGTAAAGTAAATAAACATACACTTCAATTGTGTAATAGGAGTGATTTGTCATTAAGGTCTTAACAGTTCAATAATGCATTTAATCTAACAAACTTTAGAAAGACAATATCATAAAATTGTCTTAAAACACTGCATGTTAGGTCATCATTAACATTAAAGATAAAGATGGCAAAACTCTGTACTCCTACCACATCATCATACTAGTCTCTGCATGTTACCTATCAAATTTGTTTGTAAGTCAGCTCATTTATCAATGTCAAATCCTATCTTACTGCACAGTGTCCAATTCAGCAATTTTCAACTACGTTGTAAAACTAAATAAAAGCAAAAATCCTTAGGAAAAATGTACTTGTCTTTTTTTCTTTTCAAGAGAAATAAAGTTGGGTCTAAGGAGCTGACGGAGTTCTGTTCAAACCCATTCCAGTAAAGGAAACTGTCAAAACATTTTTACCTTTAAAAAAATTTGAACACTACAAAAATTTTGCCATTTTTGTTCTCAATTCTTTCTGAAAAAAGTTTACAAAAATTATTAAGTAAATAAAATGTGGAAGAACTGAAGAAAATACTTGTGGTAAAAAAGAATAAATACTAGCTAAGGCCACCAGGGAGGGGTATACCCCACACACCGTTGATAAAAAGGATAGGAACCCATTGGTGGTTTGACATTTTTGAGGCCTGCAACATCAACAATGAAGAGTTGGTTCCATGAGCTGTCCAGAATTGTGCTGAAGGCAGTGCATTTATCAGCACAAGGATCCCTCTGATGTTCTTCCACACGGTCCAATTCTTTTGCCATCAGTCATTAATCAGACTCTAGCTACTAACAGAAGAATATTCAACTAACAAAGGCTGAAACTGGGCATCAAAATTAACAATAGTTTATGGATGCTTCCCCTGCAAATTTCCAATAATAAAAATTTGCATAGAGAAGCTGGAATTTGAAAGGCTATAACTGTATGTTTTACATGAACTCTTTTAGTATCTTCATGAAAAAAGTTGTCTAGTAACATAAATTGCTTCTGCATCGGTTCCACAAACAAGACAAGGACCTAAAACATCCAAACTGTTCACAGACAAAGTCCTGTTGGGAAGCAAGCTTGTGATTTCAATACGGTCTTTGGCAGGGTCAGTGATGAGCCAGGAGCTTATAAGAGATTGATGAACATTAGCTTGGTTACTAATGCTATGAGACAAAAAAGTACTATTTCTTCCTCCTGGGAAAAGAAAAGAAAAGGTGAAAACTTCTTTCAAGACTAATTTTATACTAGTAAACATCTGAAATTCTAATACTTAAAAAAGGCGATGAATATATATTGGTTTTAATTCTCAAGAATAACTGGCTGATAATTCCATTATAACACATCACCATTTTTGACTAAAGGCTTAGTCAGTGATATTAAATACTCAAATTTCCATGGGATAATATGGCTATGAAACTTGAAATCTTCAGCAAAGCACAAGATTCATTTTGACCCTGTCTTCCTGTTTATTCTTTAACGGAAAGTCTCAGAAATGTACCAAAATGCCTAGAAGACAAGTAGAATAAATGTAGATAATATATGGAAATCAAAGTTCTTAGATAATCAAAAAATGAAAATTTCTGGATGTATTTCTACATGAATATTTCTAAAAATATATTTACTTCTATATGTCTAAAAATATAATCAACTTGCTTTAGATCTCCTTTTATTCTTTGCCTTTATTTCAGGTAAATGTTCTTAAAAGTAGAATTTAAGAACACTACCAGATTATACACTTTTATGTCTGACAGTGCTCTTCATTTAATGCAGGATTAAGTGGGGGCAGAAGCAGTATATTTCAGTTTTAGCCTTCATTTGAAATTTTCTTTCCTTTCAACTTTCTGCCAGATCAAATACAGACAGATTTCATTTACTCAATAAATGGCTGAGTACCTACTCTATGCCAGGCGGTGTGCTAAGTGCTGGGAATACAAGGCAAAGTCCCTCATATCTTGAAGCTTAAAGATTAGTGAGTTTAAATCTTGCTGATTCTTAAAGCCCAACTCAACTTCCTTCTCTAAGAAGCCTTTGAAGATGACTCTAGTTCATGCTTCTCTTCCTTCTGGAACCCTCAGCACTTATACGCACCACTAATAACTTACTACTTTATAACACTTCTTGTATGATTTAACTTTGCATGCCCCCTTCTCCATAACTAAATTAAGTATTTCTTAAGGGCAGGTTGTATAGATTATATTTATTTTACCTTTTCACAGTGTCTAATATTGTTCTTGCGATACTAGGCACAGAATATAGTAAATGGCTCTTTCCAGTCTAACCAAGGTTCTTCAAACAGTAAAATCTCAAAGGCAAGATAGTGGGGGTAGGGGAAGAAGAAATAAAAAACCAAGTGCTTAGCTAATCCTTATTATTTATTAGAAACTAATAATATTCTTAGTTTCTCCATACATGCAGTTATTAGCATAGACGTGCTGCATGCTCTACACATGCGACACTTCTCCAGAATTTTTCTGGAGATGTTTCAGATTTTTCCTTCTTAGTTTTTGTTTACCTTTTACTGCTCCTATATTTTATATTACTCTTGAATACTGTGAAAATTAACATTAGAACCACTGTGCTAAGTCTCCTCCCTGGTCTCCCTGCTTCTGCTTTTTCCATCCCTCTCCCCAGTCTATTTTCTACACAGTCGCCTAAGTGATTCTTTGGAAACGTAAGACAGATCACCCCACTCCCCTGCTCAAAATTCTCCAGTGGCTTTCTGTCACATTCAGAACAGAACCTGAAGCCCTCATCCCTGTCTGCAGAGTCCTCCGCAGCTCCTGCCACCTCCGCACACTCCCGGCCTGCTGAACTGCAGCCACACTGGCCTCCTTGCTGTTCTGTCTCAGGCCCTTGGAATTGGCTGTTTCCTCCACCTGGCACGCATTCCTGTGACTCGTGCCTCCACTTCCTCAGGTCTCTGCTCAAATGTTCTCCCTGCCAAGCGGCCCCTCCTCCGCTAATTCTTCATCCTCCTGTTCTCTTCACTCTTCTTCATAGGCATCAGGGTATTTGGTCCAGATCTTTTCCTTCTTGCTGTCTCCTTTCCTACTTTGCTGTGCTCTACTATGTCTCGCAGGGACAAACTCCTTTTTCCAGGCTCCCTTGCCATCTGCCTTCCAGGCAGACCCTGCCCATGGGAGGCACTACTGTGGGTGACTGGAAGGCACTACTGTGGGTGACTGGAAGGCAGACGGGGTTGGGTGGGGGAAGGAAAAGGCTCCAGGTTCCTGGCAACGACAACACAGCCTGTAATTCCAGCCCCGGCTGAGGTGGCACCTTTTCTGCTGATCCAGAACCAACTTGGACAGCACTTCCAACAGTACAGCAGAGGTATTAACAACTGTTGATTTCTGGCATTCCTCTTTTTTTGCTATTTGCTCTTCCAGCATCCCTCCCATTCCCTTTTGTTCTGCTAGCTCTTCTAACACACGTGAAACCAATTCCTTCTAAATCCAGGGTAGTTTCTGTTTTTCTGCTGGGACTTTTACTGAGACATTATCTATCTTACTTACTGTCTACTGGAATATTTGCTCTATGAGCCTCGAGGCTTTTCTGCTCACTGTCATGGGCTCTAACACCTAGAAGAGTGCCTAGCACGTGGTAGGGACTTGATAAACATTTGCTGAATGAATGAACAAATAAACTTTGGAACCACAGACAAACTCAAAAACAAGAAGGTTAGAAAATGCAAAAAAACAGAAACAAAAATACCTCTTGATTTTAAGTGTATAGTTTCTGGCTGACCTTTACTTACCTCTGTCTTTAATCAGGAGACAGGGCCTTTTAGTCTGAGGAGAAACCAGTACCTTAATACATAAAAGATCAACTTTGGTCTTGCCATACACCCTTGACAATGTAGTATAAGAGAGCTGTCAATGCCTATCCTATGGCATGAGGGCCCACAACAATGTACTCACAAACAAGACCCCTGGCTGTCCGAAGTTAGCCAGCTAACAGCATTTCTAGTCATCAGCAGTACAGTGGTCAGTAGCTGACAGTCAGATTTCAAGCCCTGTGATACTAGAATTTACCTTGAAGCCAGAGAATGGAAACATTTTGTCATTCCTTAATGTTAAAAATACGAGAATTTCTAATTTGGTATTTAAAAATATAATAAAATTACACACAAGAATCTTCATTAAAATTTTTTACCTTGGTGAAAGAGTGATGATTTCTCAGGTACATCTGTGGAGGCATCCCAATGCCAGAGAGATCCATCTTCAGAACAAGTAAATAGATGATCTGGGTTGGATGGGTGAAAGTGAACTTCCCACACTAAAAGATAAGAACCAAGAAGCTTATTCTTGTGTAGATTAGTTGAACAAACATCAAAACCCTGTCTCTAGGCATCACCTTCCATTAACCTCCATCACACACCTTCAAACTCCAAGCCTGTGATAAAAATCAAAGGCTTCAGGATCAAAGAAAAGACGTAACTCTCCAAATGGCTAAAACATGTAGATAAGACAAAGAAGTCAAGTAAATCTACTTGTGTATTGGGCCAGCAAATGAATGAAAATAAATGCTAGTCATTTGACCTATTACAATTTTTCTATGGAAAAGTATGACAATGGAATAATTCTGAAAAGATTTTTTGAAAATTGTTAAGTTCTCTTATTTTCAATTCCTGTGTCATTAACACATGAAGGTTATATTATTGGAAAGAGAGAGAAGACCATAAAAGTAGAATACAAATGAATTTCTAAGAGACATAGTCCAATTTTGGCTCATGCCAAGACTCTGGATTCTTCTGGCCTGTATCACAGAAATAGCAACTAGCTCCCAGCAAACCAAAACCTGGAAATGCTCCAAAAATCTGGATCCGGTTTCAAATGAAAGACTTAAGAAGCCAGCTTGGGACTGGGGACTCCTCAAGCTCTAAACTTTAAGGGAACTTTGTGTGCCAAGAGGTATCTGGGAGCCAAGGACTGCCCAGGACGTCTTAGGAAGACAGCTGCAGCATGAAGGTGAAACAGTAGTCTGTGAACAAGGGTTTTCGTGATTCTGGGTTAGGTAACCTTAGAGAGGCAGCATAGAAAGTGCTCAGAGTGTAGCATAAAAAGTGCAAGGCACATGTTTGCAAGCTGGCATTTTCAATCTGACAGTTACCACAATTAAACACGCCAGAAAACAAAAAGGTCACCTTCCTCCGGAAAGGAATGTGTGCTGGTGAGTCCCTGTGTAAAGTACATTCATACTGTTTTATTAAAACAAAGTAAAATAAAACAGCCTATACAGCCATTAGCAGACTGCCCAAATCTGGATTCTTATGTATTTATATACTTTCAAATTAGAAAACAAACCTCTATAAAACATCTTATTTCTAGCCAAGAGTCAAGATGAATTCAAAATACATTACAAGCCACTATACTGTGTGTTTTGTTGAACAATACAGGCTGGCGTTTAAAAATGGGCTGGTGAGAAGAGATCTGAAAGTTTGTAGTTCTAACTACCACTAGGTTAGCAACAACAGGCTCTAAGGGCACACCTATTTCTTTTTATTCTTTTTACCTGGACATAGCCATACCTGGAAGAGGGAAAAAGTTTCTATTTGCTTCTTAAATATAATCTTAAAAATCATTTATCTTTCCAAAGTATTAATAATGTGAAACAAACTTAGAAGTTGCAATACTGGTATAATGTTTGCTCTTCTATAGTTTTACTGAAGCATTAATACCAACTTCTCTTAAGTCAGAATTTAAAACTATAATCCACCCTGACGTGGTGATAAAATGAAAAATTTCCGTTCAGCCAAAAACTCTCCACCAAAATCAAATGACAAACATGAAAAACAAGGCAAGAGCCTATATCTTTTGTTCTTGTTAAAAGAAAAAAAGAAAGAAGTACAATAATAAATCGAAGAACACACAGATTAGCAAATATAAAAAATAACAGCCTGCATTTGCATGGGAAAAGTACATTCTCACATACTGGTGTGGCAATATAAACGCGTATTATTTTTATGTAGAACAATTTGACAACATGAATCACAGCTTTAAAATTATGCAAACTTTTGGACTCATCAAGTCTATTTCTAAAAAACTATCCTAAGAAAAGAAGCACATAAAGATGAATATGTAAGGACAATCACTACGGTTTTGTGTATAATAATCAAACATGTTAAAGAATGTAAATTTCAAATAAAAAGGGATTAGTTAATTATTATAAATTTATACAATTCAGTAAAAAACTCTGCTGTAGAATGATCCGTAGGTATCATTATGGAAAGCTGCTTATAATACATTGTATAGCTCACACACCAAAAACTTATGTATCACCACAATACTTACTTTCAGCTTCATGAGCCTTCAGTAGAGACACGGGCATTGTACCTTGTCTAACATCCCAAATACTTAACATTCCATCCTGACCACCGGTAGCTACAACATGCTGCTGGTTGGGATGTCTATCAACACAGTGGAGTGGCACTCGGTCACCAGTCCTTTAATGGGAGATACAATGACTTCACACAGTTGTAAAGTATAATTTATCTTTGAATAACCTATGAAACCTGTTTCTTTCCAGTAACGAAACGATAATTTTGTGGCTGGAGCTACTGGCTAAACTTAAATCATGTCAAAAAACTGACTACGTTAAATATATCTCTAAATATTAAAATTTTGAGGGGGAATTAAAAGCCAGAGTTATTCATTCTCTCTTCAATTTGGACACATAAGGAACAAGATAATTTGATGGTAAGATATGCAAAACATTTCCATTTCTTGGCTTTTGAAAGACATTATATATCAACTAAACAGCATATTCCTTACTTCTACTCTACCTTATTTAATGCTTAGTTTATATAACTTTTTTTCCAGCTTGACACATGCTATTTTCTAATTAGAGAAGAGAAGATTGCACACATAGAAAGGGGATTTCTGCTCAAAAAAATATCTTGGATTGTATTTTTCTCCCAATCACATCTAGAGTGTATTATTAGTAGAATAGAATATTCTATTAATATATTAATAGAATATTCCCACTATTAATAGAATCATTTGATGAGCAAAAAGAAGTTCCCCATTAAATAACATAAACTTCGAAGAGATTAATATAAACTTCTGAATCAATACAACAAATATTTACCAAACGCAGCATGGTACTATCAAGCCCATCCAACTATACAGCTGACCCTTGAACAACATGGATCCACTTACATATGAATACTTTTCCACAGTGCTACATGAGCTGAGGCTGGTTGAATCTGCGGATGTGGAACCTCTGATACAGAGGATTCCACGTATATTGAGGGCTGACTATAAGTTATACAGGGATTTTTGAGTGTATAGAGGGTCAGTGACTCTAACCCCCTACATTGTTCAAGGGTCAACTGTATTTGCTTTATCAAATTTAGTCAGAGATTATTCTCTTAGCATGCAATTAAAATACAATATGGTTTAAAGTCAGTTGCTATAAACAGTCAAACAAATTTGTGTCACACTACTGAAATTACAAATCAAAACTTACAGTGATAATATCTGAGAGGGCTCATTTCCTTGTTGTCTAAAATCCCATATTTTTAACTGTCCAATTGAATTTACTGTAAGAATCTCAGGAGTTCGAAGGAAGGTTACAGCATGGAGTGTACTGCTATCTGCATTGTCTACAAATGAAGAAAACAGCATTGTGTGTTAACAGGTCCCCCTTTTCCATGAAAATTTTAAATTGCATTCCCTCCACTGATTGAAATATTACAAATGAAATTTTAAATAAGTCACAGTTTAATTTCTATAGAAAAATGCAATAATATACATGTTAAAATGGACTCTCCTTTAATAGAAAAATTATATCACTCACAGGACATCTGAACTGTTTTCCAAATGGAGGGCTAAGTTTTCACTTATTTCTCTATTTCCACTTTAGGTTGTTACCCTCCATTTCTGAGACAGCTGTTCAGGTTCCTTTATATCCAACTTTACTTCCCTCTACTGCTTAACACAGAACCTCCATTCTATTGAGCCAAACACCATTGCTTCCTACAGAGCTCATTCTGACCTATATTATTCTGCTGACTTATCTCAAATCTATACATCTTTATCCTCATCAGCTCTCTTCTCCTCCATGAAGTCCTTCCTGATTGCTTTAACTGTCCTTTTCCTTTTCATAGTGTGTTTAAACTTATACCACTTAATTTACTATACACTTAAATTGTTTTGTGACCCTCGTCCAAACTGCCACCAGGCAGTGGTCCCTAAAAGCTAAACAAATAGTGTTCCTCAGAACTAAAAATCATAACAACACAACACACTGATTCATGGGCTCAATCCAGACGTTCTGATTTAGGAAGTCTACAGTCATGGCCTGTTAAAAATCTCCTCAGGCAAGCCTGTGCAAAGTATGGTTGAGAACTACTACACTAGAATAATCCTTCTAAAGCATGACACGGGGTACATCACCCCTTTGCTCAAAAACTTTCAATGGCTCCGTAGTTGCCCACCTAACAAAACGTAACCTCTACAGCTGTGCATTAGATTCTTCACAACCTGACCACAATTTACCTTTCTTGTTTCATTTCTTACTTCTCCTATACAAATATCTAAAGTCAGGTCAAACTACACTTTCTGTCATTCTCTGAATGGTCTTACCCTGCCTCCATGCTGTTCCCTTTATCTGGTGTGCCACCTTTTAGTATTATTTATGGTTTGGAACCTAGATTAAATGGATTGCCACCTGCCCCTCAATTCTTTATCTGTTAATCCCCTCTGGCTCTCCTCTCCACAAATTTCTTTTTCTTCTAGTCACTCCTTCATACAGGCCTTATCAACATACTGTCTTGATAAAGGGATCCTGCTTTGTATATATTTAAATCCCTCAAACACCTAGCATTGCATTTACTTAGCACATGGTAGCTGCTCAATTACTATGCAATAGACTAAAGAAATAGGATTTTTCTTACCTATAGTTCTTATAGCTTCCTTGTGATCAGCTCTGAAGAGATTTATTCGACCATCTTCTCCAACTGTGACAATTTCTGGGTTGCTGCACACAACACCTGTGCATGGTGCACTGCTACAGGAAGGACTGCCTGGACCCGTGTGGTAATGAGCTGTTGTCCACTGCTGGCTGACTGACAGAGTCTACAGGTCACAAATGAGGCTATGATTAATCAAAGCAAAGCTCCAAAAAACTAGAGCTTTCCCCAACTAAAACTGTGTCTCACACCTTTCTAGAAACATAGTAACTCTTTTCCCTTTGTATTTCCAAGCATTAAGGTCTAGAAACTACTTCCATTAAAGCTCTGTATATACCGGATTAGATTCAAAAGAAACGCTTTTTAATAACATCCCAAACTTATCTCAAACTAAAGAAATGGTTTTTAGGTATCAGGTAATTATGTGTTCAAAGGCAACTCTAAATTCTTAAGGGGGCTGGCCTACATTTAAGAGAAAATCTCGTAGTGCTTTCCAAATGACTCCATTAAGAAAAATAGTTAAGACTTCCCTGGTGGCACAGTGGTTAAGAATCCACCTGCCAATGCAGAGGACATGGGTTCGAGCCCTGGTCCGGGAAGATCCCACATGCCGTGGAGCTACTAAGCCCGTGCGCCACAACTACTGAGCCTGCACTCTAGAGCCCGAGAGCCACAACTACTGAACCCGTGTGCTGCAACTACTGAAGCCCATGCACCTAGAGCCCGTGCTCTGCAACAAGAGAAGCCACCGCAATGAGAAGCCTGCGCAACACAACGAAAGAGTAGCCCCCGCTCGCTGCAACTAGAGAAAGCACGCGCGCAGCAACAAAAGACCCAACGCAGCCAAAAAAAGAAATAAATAAAAAATAAAAGCATTGCTGAAATAAACAGTAAAAAAAAAAAGAAAAATATTTAACTAGACCTGGCTCTTGTATTTACTAGGCATGCCTATTAGTAAGATGACCTTGATTAATCCCCAAATCTAAGTAAGCATTCTCTTCTCGCAACTTAAAACTTTTACTTCAAGAGGGCCTATTTTAAAGGACTGCCCTTACCACTGTGCTCTGAAGATCAGCAGTAAGGCTTTGGCACACACAAGAAAGGCATTGTAAAAAATGTCAAGCCTTCATATAGTATATCCTCTCTTTCAATTGAAACCTAGGTTCTATCTGAAGCAAAGTAGCTGTTCCTGTTCTCTCTCATGATGCTTGAGCTAGAAAATGTTCTTTCTTTCTTCAAAAGACCAGACTAGGATCTTAAAAGAGAATTACAGGAAAAGTACTTGCCAGAATACCATATTGTTAAATCTAACCTAAGAGGATATAAGAGATCCCCAATTTGAATGAAGGATCACACAAACATGGTTCTAGAATTAATCTACTAAAAGATGGGTAATACAATGATTTTTCCCCTCCATGTTTTAAGACTATAAAACTTTATTATTTGTGTCATTATTAAGTACAGTCTTCTTTAAACCTTCCTAAAAAAAATTAAAATGCAAATTGAGATTTCAAACAAAAGTTCTTTACCTGGTTATTCGGATGGTGAAGGAAAACTGTTACACATCCTGTTGATGAAGCAGCTACAATTCTTTCCTGGTCAAAAAACTAAGAAAATTCTTGCTTGTTATAGATTCATAAATATTAGCAGGGAGGAAGCCATTTGTTTGACTCAATTAGTAGTATAACAATTTTAAAATGCCAAGAGCCTATAAATGCTAAGCAAATAAAATGTGAGAGTCAAAATTCCATTCCCACCACTTACTACCAGCTTTGAGACCCTGGCCAAGTTAAGTTCTCTAAGCCTTGGTAAACTTGCAAAACAGAGAACTAATCCCTGCTAGGCTGTTATGAGAACTCAAAAAGCAAAAACATGTAAAGTGCCTTACACAGTATTTGTCACATAGTACATGCTCCAAAGATCTTAGTCTCAGTGTTCTCATTAAGACAGAGATAACAGTATTTGATTCAACAAGCATGCGATGAGAATGAAATTAACTTATGTAAACGGTGCTTGGCAGATAGTAGATGGTCAATTAGGCAAACAAACAAGCTAGGATTAATTCCACATCCCCTTCCCCAGTCCTGATTCTGCCATTAAGCAGCTATATGATGTTGGCAAATCATGACCTATAGGGAACTCAGTTTCTTGTAAACCTGGGGTGAGACTAGACAAACTTTAAGGTCCTTTACATCTCTAAGTGTAAAGATCACTCTCAGTTTTTTAAAAGTTAGCTTTTGGATATTACACAGACTTACTTGTAAATCCATTACATCACCATGGTGTCTGATATCACACAATAACTGATGGTCTCCTTCAAATCCTCCATCAGAGTCCAAGTTCCCAAAATCTCCAATAGACCACAGTGAAACATAATTTTCCTGTAAAGCAGAAAATTTTATCTTGAGATGAAATATATGTCAAACTCTCCGAAATTAAAATTTGCCCTGCCTTCAATCAACCTTGCTTTAAAAGCATCCCAGGCAAATGGAATGATAATCATTAAAAAAGAGGAGATACGGGGCCATCGATGGCTCTGAGGTACAAGGCAACCGAGCCTGAAACGTGCATTTGGGGGACAGAGAAGGGCGAGAGGAGCCAGAAGACGAGAGAGTTCGCGCGCCGGCGGCCGGGGGCTCGGTTCCAGGAGGGAAGGAGGAGGAAGGGGCTTCCCAGGCCGGGAGCGGGGGTACCTCATTGTCCCAAGAGCCCGTGGCGAAAGTCTCCACGGTCTGCAGGCTCCCCGGAGGTACCGGTCGCCAGCGGGTCTTGCTGATTTTCTGTGACACAAACTTAGCATAAATTTCCTCCATGCCGAAAGCAACCAGGCCAGGGACAGCAAGAGGCACAGAGCGCGCCACTCAATCCCGCCCCTTCCCGCTGAGCCCTGATTGGAACGGACCGTACGAGGGACGGTGGCTGCAGAGAGCCAATTCTCCTCTGTAGGCAGTGCGGGAACGAACCACCAACCCTCAAGTGGGAGGTAGCTGGGACGCCCTGCCCCACCCAGGAGGCTCTGAACCCAGGCAAGGGTGTTTCCCGTTCTTGTGCTGTAGGACCTGCTCCTAATCTGCAAACGATATAGAAACACCGAGACAATACATTTGTGCAATAACTTTGCAATGTAAGACAAATTTAAGAGCAAAACCAAAACAAAATCAATGCAAGAGAAACGACCTAGTAGCCACACCTAAACATTGTCTTGCATTTCACCGCGCATAGAAAATATTCAAAATTCATAAATTCTCCTGGAAGTACGTCCGTCAACGTACCAATTTGTTATTCAAAACCTCTCCCTCCTCGTCCCCCAAACAAATCCTTTTCTTCAACGTTGTTAATACACACTGTCAGAAACTGGGGTTGCAATTCTGAGGACCCCAGTTCTAATTTGGACTCCCATTGCCTCTGTGACCATCCTCAATTCATTTATGTATATAATTAAGAATGATTTTTAATTGTGACGTCGACAGCTCAGGAATCAGAGCCTTAGGTTCCTTCGTGCTTTTGATTAGACCTATGATACACTCTCCCCTGCTTTCACAAAAATTCCTCTTAGAATCCTGCCCATCTTTCAAGCACCCGTTCTTTCCTCTATCTTTTCCTGTTACTCCAGCCCATGATGATCTAAATAAACATGTCCCTTAATATCTAGACCACTAATAGCACTTATATTTTGCCCCCTGTTGCTAATTTTCTTTTGATGCAAATCTCCCCAATTTGAATGTAAATCTTATTACATACAAGAGGTATGACTTATTCATCTTAAAAAAAAAACTCTTTTATACTATATTCATAACTGTGTTGCTTGTTTCTTTAAAAGGGGCCATGATTTCTTTTCTAACTGATATTGGCAGTCCTATTTCCTAGCCACAGCTTATGGAGGCACCTCATGGAAATGCAGTCCATCTAGGTCAGCTTTAGAGAGTTTTCAGGTTCTTATTGAAAGCTGACTGGTGTCGTTTTGTTTTGTTTTTAACTGGAAGACTATTAGGGAACAGCAGAGAAATGAAATAGAAAATTATTAGTCCCAAACTGACAATTTTATTCCCAATATTGAAGTAAAGAATACTGTTTCATTTATTATCGCAGAACACAGGGAAATAATATATAAGTATATTTAGGATTGGAAGTAGACTAGATACCACATTTGCTAAGGTCTGGTTAGAATACGAAAATTGTTGCTGACGCATAGCATCGATGTCTTGACATAGCTTTGTTTCCTTCCTTAAAAGTGTATTGGACTAAATGTGACTGGATTCTTCCAGTCTCAGTTCTGATCAGGAGTCAGCAAGTTGGATGCTACAGGAAATGTTCCTTGTCAGCTTCTCACTCAATGTCTTGCACAGCTGATAGCAACAAACCTGGTGTCCAGTCTAACGGTGGAATTTGTGAGGCTTAAATAGCTGAAAACGCACACTTGTGTTGGGCGAATAACACATTCGCCATAGGATACTGTAGTATTTTTAACCAAGTGCGCTGTCCTAAGGAGCAAAGGATTCCCCACGCTCCACCCCCCCACCCCAGGTCTCGGTATTCTTCCACTCTCTGAATTTGTGCTTTAGAGTTGAGAACAAATCAGGGTCCCAAAGTCTCTGCTAACGAAACACTAACGTACTTGTCACAAGCCAGAGGCTGGAGTACTCGGGTTAGAGAAGACCTTTGCCCTCCAGTTCTATTAAGATTATCGAGGTTCCACCATAGGGAGCTCTGTCTCCAACCAACCTAAATATTAAGTCATTCATTGGGTTGGGTGAGGCAGGACGAAGGAAGCCCACCGTCTAACAATCTGGACAGATATAGGAGCAGACCCGCCGCTCTCAACAGCTGATCTAGCTGCGACTGCGAAGCCACCGGCAGCAGCGGAATGAGGTCCGCCCTGCCATCCCGCCACCGCGCTCGGTGACCAGAGCCGCAGTGAGGCTCACCACCGACCGCGCCAGGGCCCACCCCGCCTGACCACAGGACAAACTCAGCAAGGAGGCGTTGCGCAGCCCGAGGCCTCAGAAAGGCCACTCAGAGGTGGCGGTGTTGGTGGCGCTGACTCAGCGGGACCAACCCGCCACTCCCGGGCGGCCGCAGCGGCCCCTCACGCGGGCGGCAGCGCATGAGGCCACCCCCGCCTCCTGCCCCACCCGGCCGCACCCGAGTCCGCGCGGCGTCACAAAGCGCATGCGTGCCGCGGGGGATGCCGGGAGCGCGCAGTGGCGGCAGCGGCGGCGACGACAGTAGCAGCGGCGGCTACAGCGGGGACGCAAGCGGGGCGGTGACCGTGTGGGAGGTGGTCTCACTCTTGGGGAAGCTGCTGGGCACTGTCGCCGCGCTGAAGGTGGTTCTGTACCTGCTCCGGGTGTGCTTAGCGATGGCCTGGAAATCCGGCGGCGCCAGCCACTCGGAGCTAATCCACAACCTCCGCAGTAAGTGCCACCCCCGCCCGGTGTGGGGCAACTGGGGAAGGCCAGGCCTGAATCGGATCCCCTGGGCCGTCCGGAACGTTCCGTATACCCCTGTGCCTGCTGGAGGGCTTCGGCGCGCGGTTGCACCAGCGGTCCCGAACGGCAAGCGCTGGCGATTGCCTCCCCCGGGACCTGTCACTTATCGGCGACATGCACGGGAACTAGAGAGAAAGAGTCAGGGGCCGCTGCTAGTGGGGCAGGGGCAGGCGTCTCCCCGCGGGCCTGGGGAAAGGGGCGCGGCACAGGTGGTGGGGCTGTCACTCGATTCCGCCACCTCCCTGTCCGGGTCCGGCGGGCGAGGGGCGTGCCTTGGGGAGTGGGCTGTTGGCCAGGGCTCGTAGAGACTGGGCTGGAACTAAGGGGACCCCGCCCTCGACCCCCGCGTCTTCTCACTTCCTCCTCTGTCATATCAGTCGACCTAGCTGCAAGCTTTCTCCCCGGTTCTGCCTCCCCCGCCCTTCGTTTTTTCCTCTGGCGGGAGATGCCACCGTCTGATACTGGCGAGGGGAGGGAGAGGGAGATGAAAGTAATGTCATTGCGGATGCTGGGAGAAATTTCTGGGGCGGCTGTCCAGTGGAAAGCTTCGTGGGGGGCGGAGGAAGAGATAACTAGGCGATGCTCTTCCTGAGGGACAGCGTATTTCAGGAGCCTTTAGAGGTCCTGGGATCCAGGAAACGATTGTGTATGTGGAACGTTCAAACTTTTTTCAGGGCTACCATATGCTTTAAAAGCCTTGTATGGAAGTTTTTTTACACCATTATCTTTAGTAATTGTATTCCTTCCTCTGATGATGATTTTAGGGTGGGACCAGTGCTGTGTCACTTTCTTATTTTAATCGAAATGTAGTGTCGCCGTCTGGTCGGGATACCAGAAGGACGGCAGTCCATCATACTCTCACTCTGGTCAGAATTTATAGCACTCTTCTTTGCACTGACTTTGCAAATAATCACAATCCTGCCACGTGGTATTTTTAATTGTTATGGATTATTTAGCTTTTCATGTGTTTGTCATGTTTCTTAATTCGATTTGTAACCTCCTTGATGGCTGGGGCTTTTTTTTTTTTGTATCTTTGAATCCTCAAACAATTTAATTTAATAATCATTCCTTTTTTCATAAATGCCAATTAAATATATATTATATGCTTGGATCTATACTAGGAATACCAAGATTAGTGAGAGAAATAAATAGTATTGGCTGGCACATGGTTAGTATTAATACTTAATATTAGTCATTTGACTTTTTTTTTAACCAGTATTTAAAACTTGTTTCCTTAGCGTTTAGTAATGAATGTTTAGATTTAAAAAATCCTGTCAAGCATTGCCAGTATTCACTTTATGGAAGGATATTTGATTGGAAGTGGAAATTTATGTGCTGAGACAATATTAAGTGTGATTTAGGTTCCCATGGATCGAACAGCAGCTCAATATGTTGTAAATATTTTAATAAAATTTCTTCAAATGATCTAGTGCCTGCTAGTACAGCATACACACCTGAAACATTCTGTACTTGAATTGTGATTAAGTAATTTTCCACCTGTAGGTTATCGCAGTAGACACTTGGCTGTGGCAGAAATTGTAATCAATCAGGCTCTTAAAGTCTCTCCTTTCTGGGCCAAATTTGTAGTCAGCCAAAACTAGATCTTTTCCCAGTGGTTTTGTAGTTACTTTAATGTATTGCATTACTATTCTTAGCTGAAATTTCTAAGGATGTTTTCCTATCAGAAAATTTAATGAGAAATATTTAACATACATGGATGTTGATATTGTGGATGTTTCATTTTATACTAGAGCTATGATTGGTAAGAGGAAATAAGAGTGCTCAAATTGTTTAGCTTCTTTTGTGACACTTGTGCAACTTTAGTTTCAACTTCTTGCTGAATTGGTTCTAGCCAATAGATTCCTTTTTTTTTTGGTACGCGGGCCTCTCACTGTTGTGGCCTCTCCCGTTGCTGAGCACAGGCTCCGGACGCGGAGGCTCAGCGGCCATGGCTCACGGGCCCAGCCACTCCGCGGGCATGTGGGATCTTCCCAGACCAGGGCACGAACCGTGTCCCCTGCATCGGCAGGCGGACTCTCAACCACTGCGCCACCAGGGAAGCCCCAGATTTCATTTTTATTTATTAGTTTGTTACAACAGTAATATTTGTTCAAGGGAGAATTTCAGTTGGCACAAATTGAAAATTTCTCACTCTTTACAGGTTATTCCACCCTTGTGTATTCTTCCTAAGACTTCTAACTAAATCTTTAGAAAAAGATTAAAATGTGATTATGCTGATATTGAAGTGAAAAAGGGTCTGCAAATTGGAAGAGGAAGCAAATTAGTTTTAATTTTTTTTAACGAAATAAAGTTCACGATTGGTTTCATTTTAATATTATTATAATTATTTTATTGAAAATA